ATTTGTGTGCTTCCATTGCCTTTTTTGAGCTTTTACCCTTCTATTTGTTCGTTTATCTTCCTGGAAGATGCCAATGGAGTGCGATTCAAATGATCGACTAACTTTCGGGAAGATGGGTTATGGGTATGTATCTCTCTTCTCTGTAATAGCCCTATCTATATTCAAGCATTTTTTTGCGAAAATTTTGTGTTTCCATGGTTCTTGGTAGATGGGCTCTGTTTGTTTCTTGATGTTTCTGTTTTCGTTGTTCTTGTGCTGGGCCTGCTGCCCTGCGATGAGCTTTCCTATGTTATTGTGAGTTGTCCCACATCGTTCAATAGACCCACCTTATAAGTCTAATGGGCTATTCCTCCTTCCACCAATTAGTTTTGGGATGGAATCCCATTTGAGCTTCATATAGCTTTTTCCGCTTATGGTGTGCTTTATGTTAGTGAGACTGCACCCGTTCTCCCCCAGTTTCTTTCGGTAGAAAAGCTTGAATCTTTTTGTCAAACCAGTGGTATTTGTGGTGTTGCAATAATCGAAGAGTTGAAACTGTTTGTGAAGTCTTGTGATGTGGGCAAAAACTTTTCAGCTTCTTTGCTTGTCTATAGGCTGACACCCTCTTTAGATATTCAATTGAAATCTGGTTTTGTAGTCTTTCAGTTGGTGGGCATGTTTTGTTTTCCTTGAGTGTTCCTTTGTTGATTTGCGATTTTGTAGAACTTTTTCGACAAAATCTGTGATGTTTCGATGGTTTGTGATTCGAAGAGAGCTTGAGTAATTCGTTGCAACGTTGTTATTCTGAGTGGACTGATGTGTGTTTGTAAAAGTTTATGTTAAAAAAGACGTTTGTACTTATGAATGGCAAACCTCTACGAGTATCTAATTCATTCATATTATTAACTTCATTGGGAAAATAATTTTTTCTGTGGATGATTTGTTAAATGAAAATCCATTTTTATTGGCTATTTAGATGTCATGTGCAAGTTGAGCTGATAATTGGTTTTGATACAAATTCCAAGTATCTTAACTTTCACATTCATCTGTAACTGAAATTAGCTGCAAGCACTATAGAAGGAGGTGCAAGATTAGAGCTCCATGCTGTAATGAAGTTTATGATTGTCGTCACTGTCACAACGAAGCCGCGGTATTTTTTTTGTACTTCTAATTTCTTACAATCTGAATGTACTAATGTTCCATTTGGCCTTAATCGTCCAAAAAAAAAAAAAAGAATTATTTCCACTTCTAATGTTTTCTTTTCTGGGGACTTTGCCAAACCAACAGAATATGCTTCGTAACATTTATGATCGGCATGAGTTGGTCCGGAGCGAGGTGAAACAAGTACGTCTCTTGTGAAAATGTATTCTTCCCGCATGTACTCCTTGCTTACCTGAAAGTTTTCTTCATTTTAGTTGTCAGATTTCTTTTATGATTGCCATTTGTACACATTTTGCAGGTTATCTGTTCGGTTTGTGACACTGAGCAGCCTGTACGTGCTCTTGACCTTTTTTATTCCTGAATGATATTTGTTACAGATTTTCATTACCCATCTTGTCCTTTTGTTTCCCTAAAGATTCCTACTAACTGTCTTGTTCATATGGTCTATTTTCTCCTCTTATCCAGGTCGCACGTGTTTGTACAAATTGTGGTGTCAATATGGGGGAATATTTTTGCAGTGTCTGCAAATTTTACGATGATGACGTAATTTCGCTTGTACTAAACTGAAATTATTTGTTCTAACCTGTTCTGCTATGTCCTCAGTTTCGAATCTGTTCAAAATAAATCAAAATTATCTGGATAAGGTTAACAGTCATGACGGGCTCTTGTTTGGTGCAGGTTGACAAAGGGCAGTTTCATTGTGATGACTGTGGGATTTGCAGGTTGGTTGAAAATATTAATATTAATACACTTTCCTTCTTTTTTTTTCCTTGTTATCCTCATGTTTTGATGGCTTAGTTGGTTTTTTGCGTTAGGATTGGAGGCCGTGAGAACTTCTTCCACTGCAAGAAATGCAGTATGTAAAAGCTCTGTAGCATACTTTTATAAGGGTTACTTTTCAAATTATTCAGTTTTCGTTTACACAATGTAGGGTAACTTTGTTAATATTTTTATTTTTAATGTGATGAAGCTGAATGAATCTCAAGGATTTCGTTTATAGTTTATTTCGTTTTAATCTATACGTCAAGTCAGCTTAACACTCAGTATTGTGGTTAACCATCATTTTAACTACTCTTTTTAATATTCATTACACAGGCTCGTGTTATTCAGTTAGTTTGCGCAACAATCACCTTTGTGTGGAGAACTCCATGAGACATCACTGCCCAATTTGTTACGAGGTTTCACCTTTTGCTTATTTTCACTTTCTTCCAAAAGATGTTACTCTTACATGTCTCAACACTCTGCATTCGTTGCATTTACAGTATTTGTTCGACTCTCTGAAGGATACAACCGTCATGAAGTGCGGTCACACGATGCATTGTGAATGTTATCATGAACTGATAAAGCGTGAGAAGTAATGACCTATATGAATCTCGCAACAATAATTTTTTACAGCAAATAGGAAAATCTAAGTAATTTTTGTAGTCTTTTGTTTCCGTTTTTAATTACTGTTGTTTGCAAATTTACAGGTACTGTTGCCCAATATGTTCCAAGTCGATCATGGACATGACGGGGACTTGGAAGAGAATAGATGAAGAGGTAAATGCTATTGGTTTTGACTTTAAACTTACGCTTTAAAAAATTTCCACCTTTTGTGACTGGAAAAGTGGTTAAATAATGTCTCTATGGAGGATGTGAAATTTGCGTCTTTCTTTTATTATGATTAGCCTATGATGCAAGACCTTGATGTGCAAATCCAGGAGCTTAAATTTAAATCACTATTGTATTTGGGATTTGAAAGTGTTCGTGAAAGGTCAAGTTTCCTTCAACTTCAACAGTATGTATTTTGCTACTTGGGCCACACTGTAAAAATAAAAAAAGGTTGGAGATAAATAGGCGTCTAAGAGGCAGTTTGGAGTATTTCCGAGCCTTCTTCATATTTATTGGAAATATAGTGGTAGCTATCGGCAAGTCTTTGCTCCTATGACATACTTTTATGATATGCCATTTGACTTTAAAATTTCGTTTCAAATGTTTTCATGTGACTTAACAATAACGTACAAGGTTTATCTCAGTCGATAGCTGCAGTTTGTAAGAACCAAACTCAGTTAATGTTCTGTTCCAAATTCCAAAAGGCTCTGATTTTTGTTAAAACAAATGTCACGTTTTGCACAGATTGAAGCAACTGTGATGCCAGATGAATACAGATACAAGAAGGTGACTGTAAATTTACGGTTATTTTTATTTTTTTTATTTTTTATTTTTGTACCTTCTTTGTTACTTTCATTGAAAAATGTAAAACCATTCTTCAGGTGTGGATTCTTTGCAACGACTGTAACGATACTACGGAAGTTTATTTCCACATAATTGGTCAGAAATGCAGCCATTGCGGATCGTATAATACTCGGACGATCGCCCCTCCTGTGCTCCCTCAATGAGCAGTTGATATTTTTTTTTTTTTAAATTTTTTGGGCTGAAGCACGGCAAAGCTGGTGCCGGAGTCCTAAAAACTACCGACGGACCTTTTGTTGCATTATTTATCAACCATTAATGTGTTTCAAGTACAATGTTACTGTATTATTACCTTTGTAAAGACAGTGTAAGTTGCCAAGTTTTATTATGGAGGCTTGGTAGATTCTCCAAGGAGGAAGATTGATGTTCTTCTGAAGACTAAGGGTGGAGAAGGGGCAAACCAATAAATTTGGTGTGTTTTTTTCTTTTTCTTTTTTTTTTTAAATGTTTGGTTGGTTTTATTTGTCAATAAAATCAATTTATTCAGATGAATTTTTATGTGATCTATTAATATATAATAAGGATTAACATAATTCACTTTTAGAAAGTTTTTTTCGTCAAAAACATTAATTACACGGTAATTTAGAATTTATTTTAAATAAAAAAATATTAATTACATTATTATAGTTTCCTATTAAAATGTAATCCAGATTGTATTTAAATATTCCGTTAGATATATTCTGTTATAGCATATTTGTTAGCAGATTTAATGGTGCATGCAATATTCTGTTAGCATATTTATAACGATTTCTTTTATACATACCAGTTTATTTACACTCAAATTATTTTAATTTATCATAAATCATATTTTCTATGGTAGATGTTGGGTATTTTATCTTCATAGCAACATATTTTAAAAAATCAGTTATATTGTCAAATCATTTTTATTTAGATTCTTGGATCCTTTGTTGTTGTATACGTTTTCAATTAATATAAAATCAAACCTTTTCATAAAATCTCATTTTTCATGAAATGATTTTCTCGGTTAATATTTTTTATATCTATCAAATTTTATAAAATTACTTATTAAAAATAATATTTGTTTTTTCAAATCAATTTATAAAATAACGTTTGTATAAAAATAATTTTGTTGAGTGTAATTTTTTATCTATAAGATTTTATAAACTATTGATTAAAAATTGAAATCACATTTTACAAATGGGCAATATATATTTTTTATTTTTATTTGCAAACAAACTTTAAATCATCAATGGTATTAGACATGTTATATTCACAATTTGAATTTTTTTTTTTTTTTTTATATATATACAAGATATAAAAATACAATATAAACAACTACAACATTCTCAGTCTTTCCAGTAGAAAACGTAATAAACAGCGGGTGAAAAAAATACACAATTTTGATGATACACAATTAGCATTCACGTGAAAAAAATACAATATGAATAAAAATCACCATTAGCGTTCAATGGTATTAGACGTGTTATATTCACAATTTGAAATTTTATAGTTTTTTTTTTTATTAAAATAAGATATAAAAGTGCAATATAAACAACTACAACATTCTCAGTCTTTCAAATAACCAACGTAATAAACAACGCGTGAAAAAATACACAATTTTGATGATACACAATAGCATTCACGTGAAAAAAATATACAATATGAATAAAAATAACCATTAGCGTTCAATGTAATTTTATTTCCATATTATTGGTTGTTAAAACGATTAATATGCTTATAAGTATCATATCAACCCCACACAAAAAAAATCACCATTGACGAACATACGAGTAATTAGTGAATTCATAGTACGTGTCAAACAAAAAAATAGATCAACCTTTCGGTCTTATCGAGGAAGTTGAACGAGCAAAGAGAGTTATGTTGCAACTTCGAGTGGTTCGCATGTTTGAGAGTAAATTTCCTAATTCTTATCATAACATCATAAAAATTAATTTTCATAATATTGAGGTATAATATTGTTTATTGTTTCTTTTTTCTTTTCAATTTTATTTCGTTATTTTTTTGTGCAGACTTCTGACAAATAACTTCCAGTCATTTCAAAGGGGAGTTGTTAGGATATTGCGAATGCAACTATTAATGCTTCCACCATTTGGAATTGTACTGTGTTGCGACTTTCAAAAAACATGCGTCTTCAGAACATTTTTGATTCGGACGAGCGTGACAAGGTAACAACGTTTACTGATTGGATTGTTAGAATTGGAGATGGGCCTGTAGGAGGATCAAACGATGGTTGTACCTACATTAACATTCTAGACGTTACAAGACTGGAACCCTTCGATGATCCAATTGCTACAATCGTGAGAAGTACCTATCCAATGTTCAAGAATACAACTGACAATTCTAGACATTTGAATGATAGTGCTCTATTAGCGCCTACTTTGGAGGTCGTTGAGTCTATCAATTAATAAATGTCGAAGATGAATTCTGACGAAGGTCGTATGTATTTGAGCTATGACATTATGTGGAAGTCCCACTCACATAATAACTTTTTTTTTTTTGTTTTGGGCAAAATCTCCACACTTCCGAGTTCTTGAATAGCATCAAGTTTTCAGGAACACCAAACCATGAATTGCATTTGAAAATTGGAACTCCAATCATGTTATTAAAGAACGTGGACCATTCTATAGGACTGTGCAATGGAACACTCTTGGTTTTACCAAGTTTTCTACTCATGTGCTTGAATGTAAGATATTGACTGGAGATCAGAAGGTGAGAATGTGTTGATTCCTCGAATGAATATGATACCTTCCGATATTAGGGTTCGGTTTACGTTCCAGCGTAGGCAGTTCCCCCTTATGATTTTGTAAACCATGACCATAAACAAGAGTCAGAGTCGTATATTTTCTCATTTTGGCATGCTCTTAAAAAAAATTGATATTTAGTCATGGCCAGTTATATACTGTTGTTTTGTGTGTAGCTAATATAAAGGGGTTGAAAGTATTAGTTTATGAGGACGATGAGTTGCCCGACAATCAAACTAATAATGTTGAGTATAAGGAGGTTTTTAATAATGAATTTTCATGACAAATTTTTTATGATTACTTGACAAATACTCTACGTATTATAACTTATTGAATAATAACATTTACCAAAATAAATATTGTTCGTGCATCGCACGGGTTACGTACTAGTTTGGTAAAACAGAATCGAAATTCCATCATGTTAAGTTTGTGAAATTGTATTTTTTTTAAATATAAATGGGATATTCAAAACATTGGATGATGTGCAATGTCTACGACTCTGCAGGTTGTATTTAATTAGGATTTTAAGTGAAATTTTAATTAGGATTTTAAGTGAAATTTTGACAAGATTTGAAACTTTTTAAGGTTTTTATTTAGAGGAATTTTGTGAAATCTTTTTAGTTAAGAATTCAAGTGACATTCGACAAGATTTGAGATTTTTTAAGATTTTTAAATTTTGCAGAAAATTTTGTGAAACATTAAGTTTGGAAGTGGGGTTTGAAATGAAATTTCTTGTATTTTTTTTTAAAAAAAACAAAAAATTTCATAAAATCTTAAAAAGACTTAATGAATTTTAGTCTCAAATAAGTTAAATACTATAGGATTTTTTATAAGACTTTAAAATCTCATGAGGGTTTGATAGAAGAACTCTGTAAGTTTCAAAAATTGACATTTGATAAAAGAAAGAAATGTTGAACACCTTTATAATAGATTACGTTGCGTTAAAAATTATTTTTAATAGATTCAAATGTGCACGAGAACGACGCTCCTCGTAAAACCCAACATCCAATTGGATATCCAAACCGCTCTATGGGTCGTACTCGACCAAATATGGTATCCCATATTAAGCTCAATTTTCCTTGAGCTAGATTGCTCTGACCTTCAGCGGATAAGCTTGTCTCTTAGGTCGTACCTCGACCTTCAGACTTCCAGTTTGAGTTTCCGTCAAGCTAGCCAGAGTCCTAGCTCGACCTCTTGGCGGGCTATCTCACCTATAACAATCGGACCTGATGTTTCCTTGACCTTTGACGTTCTCGTTATCTGACCGACCTGACGGTTTATCCAATTCGTACGAACAGTTGTTTAGGTAGCACACGACCTAGTATGATATCACATATTGTAGCCCAATCTAATAAGAAAATTGAAGCTAAGAAGCGAGAGTTTATAGTTATTTGTCGACATAATGGGGGAGTTAATTTACAAAACGTTGTTACTTAAAATAGTTATTTGGTCGATAGAATAGGGAGTGGAAAGAACTAGGATTCAACTTCCCATTGTTTAGGTCAAAGGCATCAACACATATCACTCATCTCTAACAATGTAATAGATGACAACGCCATTTGTTACTCTCTTTACCATTCCAAA